TATTTCTTTTGAAATTGTTACAGACGAGTTCAAGCATTAGGCCTACTGTACTTGAAACAGTCATAGTCCGTAGGAACTGGGAATCACAGCCTATTTAAGCCAGTCAAATCGTAGGAAATTTACCAAGTAAGACTGTTGCCATTTAATTACTGATATAGTAATATTAGATATCATTTATAAGGAAGATTATAAAGGATTTTCATTATTTTGAAGAATAAAATTATAATTTGTTATTACCATGCATTGGAGTAATTTGTGCAGCATCCTACCATCTGAGGGAAATCACCAAATGATAGGTTATCTCAGCAAACACCATCTTAGCTGTTAGCTTGGTGTTGAAGGATAATAATTCTAAATTAAATCTTGCCTACCTACTCTCCGGTGATTGGCCTATACAGGGGTACTGGGTAGCGTACAGTGTATGGAAAACAATCTCAACGATTGTCTGTTTGAAGTTTTATTAGTGAATAAAAAGTATAAGGTTTTAACTTAAGGTTTGATGTTTATTAAAATAAAACTCACGAATCAACGAAATCTCATTTTGAATTAAGTACAGCATTTGTAACTTAAACGTAACGTAAACCATCTGTCATACAGTATTTTGTAATACGATGCTAAAATGTCGTGGGCAACAATTAAAGTTTTCTTGGTGTAATGTTTATATCGTTAGGAGGAGGGGTGATTATACTTAAGTTATAGGTTTTACAGTTAGCTGATAAAGATATTAATAGCTCAAATTTTTTACAATTTGCTAAATTTGTTTCCATACAATTTTTACAAAAAGAAAACTAATTATGTGATCATTAATTCTTTATAAAGCTTAAAACAAGGTTACAAGCCAGAAAATCCTTAAATATAAGATATTAGCCCTGGGTCTTACTTAAGCCCTGGGTATTAAATTAGCAGCTGTCTTTGAAAAAATCTTTTCGCAGTAAAGAAACGACATTTTTACACAAAAATCAGTTTAAGTTTTAGAGTTAATAAATCCATAAAAGTATTCCATTAATACTTTTTTCAAGAAAATCAAATAGTTATGTCAACTCTGTGAAAAGAAACTGTTTATCCTGTTTGTCAAAACATCAATCCTATCACTGCTTGGAATATGTGGTTTTATTCATACCAATTACACGGGGTCTGACCCAACAGTTAATAAACTAAATAATCCACTGACCATTTTGATAGTTTTTTATCAACTGGAGATAACTCTTTGCCTTTGTGTGAAAATTGAGTGAAATCTAACATCATTTTTCTACACTTAACATTTTCATAAAACCATTCTATGGCTTTATATACCATAGATACAGTTTTTATGCAAAATTATTAAAAAAGAATTTTCATGTAATTTTTTGCAATGGAAATAATTAATCATCCCTCAAAATATGTATTAACCCGATAATCAACAGGTTTTAGCTAATAGAATATTTACCAACAAAACTTGGAGTTGCAAAAGTGTAAACAACATAAAAAGGACAGATTTTCAATTAACTATTTTATTTGGTTAGTATTATAGTTTAGCATCTGTTGCAAGAGTACAAGATAAATCCCTGTATTATTTATTAATACGTAGCTCAGTAATTGAGAGAATTCTTCTGTCCTGAGCCCTCAATCAAACACACTCGTCCTGGAATGCTCGTTTGCGGCTGTTGCTCGCTTTAGTGTTCTTCTTCTTCTTTTCACACAGATTCTGATCTTTCTTCCATCTGATCGGCGTGCTTGTGGATTTGTGCTCACCATTTGCTCCCATTGAAAACTCCTTTGTCAGAACATCATTTTCTATGTAGGGGTTTCCTTCTTCGAAATAACAGTTTATTTTGAACCCAAACTTGATGTTTTCAAAATCTTCCACCTCGATTTTGGTGACATACTGAAGACAATCTACTTATTCATCAGTTGTCAACCTAGTAGTAGATCTAGTCAATCTAGTAGTAGACAATCTACTTCTACATCAGATCAGAGGGCTTAGTTTTGGGTGGTTCACAAAAGTAGTGACCCAGAAGTTCGGTATCTTCTTGATGATATCGTTTCTCTTCTCAAAATGTGGTTTCTTTATCCTGTTGTAATTTCTTTCAATGCCGAGAATCTCTTCACCGGCCTTCTCATTTAGAGCATCAATCTCATTTTGGCATTTGTCAATTTCCTCAAGGACCTTTTGAGTTTCTGGATCTTCTTCCCGAGTCGTCTCTCCATTCCCTAGTTCTAATTTCTTAATTTTCTTTGTTGGTGATCCAGAACCGTAGCCATTTTGTACAAAGTTCAATAAATTAAAACAGTAAAGTTTGAACCACCTAAGGGTGGTCCATTATTTTACTAATGTGAAATTTGATTAAGGGTTTAGCACACCTATAACACCTTAATTGAGAATAGAGAACAGACGCCTCACTAAACGAAAATGGACAATAAATTTAAAAGATGGCTTCCAAACTTGCTGAGAAAAACAACCAGAATTCACCGGAAGTAAAAAAACCTAGGTGTTGGAGTCTTAGGTATATATTTAAATGAGGTCAAAAGTTTCCATTATTTTGAATCATTCGCAGTGAATTTAAGTTAACACCATTGTATTGCCAGACACAGTAATAAATTAAGTAATAAGAATGCATCACAACCTATTATTCCTATAATTTAATTGGTTTTTAAATCTGTCCAGTCAAAATATCTAAATATTTGTTTTAATCTGTTTTTAAATAACATCACATCCCTCGCCTGTTTCGATACCAGTAAATTGTTACAGCGTCAAGTATCAGCAGTGCAGTAACAAGTACCCTACAGTTAGAGATGGTGTCGATTATCTCATAATGCTGGCTGGTCCTTGGCCAAACGCATACATTTATCACTTTTTACTTTCTCCCCCTACCATAGTATATGGAGAAAGTATTGTTTTCGTCAAAATTTTCGAGTTCGAGTTTTGAGTGGATATATTCGTTTTGGGTCCCCCTGGACCCAAAAAAGTGGTTTTCGAAGTGATGTCTGGGTGTGTGTGTGTCTGTGTGAGTGTGTGTCTGTGTGTCTGTGTGTCTGGATGTGTACAGAGCTAGAGACTACACCTGTGGTCCGATTTCGATGACATTTGGTATGTAGGTTCTAATCCATGGTATCTCCAGGCGTTTTTTTCATTTTTTTGAAATTTTGATTTTTAATGGGGATTTCCCCATAAAAACCCATAAAAAACTGGAAAAATTGGATTTTCTCCAAAATGGCTCGAACGATATTGATAAGAATTTAGTATGTTGTAGCCCTTTAAATTCTGAACAAAATGGTACAAATCCCATTTCTGTAAAAATTACGGTTCAAAAGTTATAGTAAATTATGTTATTTTCCCATAAAAACCCCATAAAATAACAAAAAATGGAATTTTAGACAAAAATCCGGTTTTGATTTAACATAGTATGTTATAGTTCTTACAATTTTGAAAGTTTTTTTTTATTTTTTAGAAATTTTGATTTTTAATGGAGATTTTCCCATAAAACCCCATAAAATAACGGAAAAATAGGATTTTCCCTAAAATGGTTCGAACGATTTTGATAAAAATTTAGTATGTTATAGTACTTTATATTCTGAACAAAATGGTACAAATCTTATCTCTGTAAAAATTACGGTTCAAAAGTTATTATAAATTATGTTATTTTCCCATAAAACCCCATAACATAACGGTAAATCAGATTTTCCCAAAATTGGCTCGAACGATTTTGATAAAAATTTAGTATGTTAAATTAAAGAAATGGACGAAAATGGACCTTTAAATTCTGAAGAAAATTGTACAAATTCCATTTCCGTTTATTTAATCTCACCGCTTACGCATGATAAAGGTTGTTGACAAACTTATGGGAGAAAGTAGTTGTTGACAAACTTATGGGAGAAAGTATGTGTCAGAATGCTGATACCGTTTATTAACAATATGTTACTACATACTGCGTTCATCTATTCAAGATTATATAAGAAGAACATAAGAAAGTAGTCCATTTTGAAAATTGGTAAATTCGTGTAAGAATAAGTTCACAAATGTTTATTTGACAATAATTTTGCTACACTATTAGCTGTTATGTAAGCAATCAAAATTGTTTAGAGTGGTTTTCCCTATATAATATAAAATTTGGGTATAATATTTTTGTAATGCTAGGTAAATTATAATATTTGAAAAATTCATTTTGATATAATGTTCAGTTATTACTTATAACGTTGAATACGTCACTTTGATTGAGGAATAAAACATTCGTAAAATAACATGTATACATATATATATCCAATGACAAATGTTGTTTTTCAATAGTTTGTAAATATTCAAAAAGTGTTTAAGAAAAAGTTTTATTGCCTAGGATTCAATTCAATTTACACAAGCGCCACTTTTTCATACTTTTCCATATTATACGTCTTATTGGGTAACACGTAAGTGAAATCAAATTTGATCCCTTTTGAAAAATCCCTTTTCATTCAAATCTTACCATTACAATTTCTCACAAGTTGGCTCTTTGTTTTAAAAAAAGCATTACTAGTTTCATCTATGAAAAAAGTTTTTTTTTTTTTTTTTATCAGAACAATATCTGTAATAGTTGTGATGTAAACATTTTATCATAGGACATTTTTCAAAACCATCTTTTCGTGAATGAAACATTGTATGTAGATAAAATCATAGTAGGATCATTTCATCACTAGTCAGGATCAGAAAATATGAGCGATGGTAGAAAAGACACTTCTTGCATGTGTGACAAACTATATTTTTCGTCATATTAAAACATTATTTAAGCAAAATAAAGTATATAATAAAAATACCTTTCACGTCAAGAAAACATCTTAAAATGTTTTTGTAGCTGTGAACTAGCATCAGCTGACTAGTGTCCTTTATGTTTACGATTTTGGATATTTCGGTTGTCATGGTGACCAATGTGTGTTGAGTTGAATTAATGTTTAGAGAAGGTTCGTTTTGTTGTCCTGTTTTTTAAAGTGTAAAATATAACTAAGTTGTAGAAAGTTCTGAATAGTTTTATTTTCCCACAAGCTATTTCGGCATGTCTGGAAACGGTACAAGATTTTCGGATTTGGTAAAGTTGTATGATGGCGAAGGAGACTTCTCGGAATGGCTGAAAAAGTTGGAGCTTGTATGTAAACTTCAGAAGGTTAAAGAACTACAATCAGTGCTTCCCTTGTTTTTGTCTGGAGGAGCATTTGCCGTCTACGATGGGCTTACCGACGCAGTTAAGAGTGATTACTCCGCCCTGACTCAAGCTTTGCAGCAGGCTTTCTCTGCTAACTGTTTCCAAGCGTATGAGGAGTTCATATCCAGACGTTTGCTTCCAGGAGAATCTGTTGATGTCTACGCATCTGATTTGAAAAGGTTGGCTAAATTAATAGATTCTTCAGTTTCTGACGAGTGGATAAAGAGTTCTTTTGTTCACGGACTACCCAGAGAAGTTCAAAATCAGTTAAAGGCGGCATGTTGTTTGCAAGACATGGAGCTGTCAAAAGTGTTAGAAAGGGCGAGAAGTTTAGTGAATGGAAGTGAATCCAATGTTGGAGCCGCCGCTCAGATGGAAGTGTCCGTAAATAAAAGACAGTATAGTAAAAAATGTTTTATCTGTAACTCGGAAGGACATCTAGCAAGATCATGCCCACAAAGAAAGCCGAGTAGCACCTCGAATGTAATTTGTTTCCGTTGTGGAGAGGCAGGACATTATGCTCCAAAGTGTTCACAGGCTCAAAAAAAACGAGTAAAAGGGGCCACCCTTTGTTGCGCGGGTGGCTATCCTTGTTTGACTGCGCAACCACAACTGCCGACGTTGATGGTAACTGTTGCTGGAACTAAGTGTTGTGCATTATTAGATACGGGGTGTTCAAGAACTATTATCTCACCGAGTCTTGTCAGGTCTAAGAAACTAATAAGGCCCACAAGTCAACGAGTGGTAATGATGAACGGGGACGTAGTAGACTGTAACTTAATGTGTGAGACAGAGGTGTCCGTTAGTGGGATTAACCTATCATTAAACTGTTTAGTTGCTCGATTATTGCCAAACTATCAGGTGCTATTAGGAATGGATGCGATTTCTGCAATGGGTGGAGTTACGATTCAGGGGGATGGTGGCGTAGAATTTAAAAAGGGTTTGTGTACTGGAGCAGTGGCTGAATCTGAGCAAAAGGGTGACGGTGACCAGAAAATCATCAGGGAGATCGAATCCAAGCAAGAAATTAATATTGAAAAGAAATCTGCAGAGAAAATCATTATTGAAGACTGTGATTTTAAGGCAGAATTTTTAGATGGAAAATGGACAGTGGAATGGAATTGGAAGGATGTGAACAGACTGCCTATGTTGGAAAATCAAGTAAAAATGTACAGAATTCCTGAGAATGCTACCGAAGCCTTCGAAACTGAAGTTGAAGAATGGATAAAAAGTGGTTGGCTGCAGCCCTATCATGGAGAGTTTGAAGGTGTGATTCCTTTGATGGCTGTCATACAGCAAAATAAGGATAAAGTGCGGCCTGTAATGGACTATAGAGAACTTAACCAATTCGTTTCAAGCCATACAGCTGGAAGTGAGGTTTGTAGTGAAAAGTTAAGATTGTGGAGACGATTGGGTGAACATGTGAGTACAGTTGATCTTCGTAAAGCGTACTTGCAAATTCATATTGCTCCACATTTGTGGAAATTTCAAGTTGTCAAATTTAAGGGTGAAAACTATTGTTTAACTCGACTTGGGTTTGTGTTAAACGTTGCCCCAAAGATTATGGGCAGTATTGTTAACAAGGTTTTATCGATGGATCCGATAGTTAGGAGTGCCACAGATTCATATGTCGATGACATCGTCGTTAATGAAGAAATCGTCAGTAGTGATGTTGTGATTAGATTGTTGGAAACATATGGTTTGACAGCAAAGCCGGCAGAAACGCTTGATGGAGGCAGAGTATTAGGACTAAGGCTGAGAAGAGCAGGATGTAAGCTAATGTGGTACAGAGATAACAAATTAAAACCTTTGGACCAAGTTAAAACAAAGAAAGATGTTTTCTCGTTGTGTGGGCAATTGATTGGACACTATCCAGTAGCAAGCTGGCTTCGACCTGCATGTAGTTTCGTTAAGAGACATTTGTCGGATCTGAAGTGGGATGATTTGATCAGTGAACGTGCGCAAACTATGTTAACAAATATTATGGATCGAATCGATGAAAGAGACCCAGCCACTGGCAAATGGGCTGTGTCCCCTGGAGAAGAAGGAAAAGTGTGGTGTGACGCAAGCAGTCTAGCGATCGGAGTTTGTCTAGAAATTGAAGGTGAGATAGTCGAAGATGCTTCGTGGCTGAGGAAGCAGCATGATTCAGCACATATCAATTTAGCAGAATTGGAAGCTATCCTAAAAGGAGTAAATTTGGCCCTGCGTTGGGGGTTAAAGAAGATCGTATTCATCACGGATTCAGCGACAGTTCATGCTTGGGTGTCATCTATACTGACGGGGGACCGTCCTATCAAAACACATGGGTTAAGTGAAGTTTTGGTTAGAAGACGATTAAGCCTATTTAAAGACATTATTTTGGAATGCGGTCTCAATGTACAAATAGAACTTATTAAGTCACAGTTCAACAAAGCAGATTTTCTTACAAGAGTGCCAAAAAAAATGGTTAGCAAGAAACGAAGAGACTAGCATTGCACTTGTGTGTGAGAATGAGAGTGTGGACCAAAAGACATTGGTGAAACAGGTTCATGACTTGCATCATTTTGGTGTTAACCGTACTTTATTCACCGCCAGACGGTGTCACCCAGACATTAACTTTACCACAAAAGTTGTTGAAGAAGTTGTGAAAAGTTGTAAAGAGTGTCTGTCAATTGATCCATCCAGCATCAAATGGGAGCCTGGGTATTTGGATTGCCAGAACAATTGGTATAGGCTTGCCATTGACGTAACACACTATGGTCAAAGCAAGTTCATGACCATTGTGGACTGTGGTCCAAGTAGGTTCTGCATTTGGCGCCGGATCCCAAAAGAGACGAAAGATCAGATTTCTAAAGTGTTGTTGGAATTGTTTACTGATCGAGGGCCACCACATGAGATTTTGTTGGACAATAGTGCAACATTTCGATGCGAAGAGATTACTCAGCTCTGTGATAAATGGGGTATTAAAGTCGTGTTTAGGTGTGTCAACCGGCCAAGTGGAAACGGGATAGTTGAGCGAAACCACAGAACAATCAAGCGTATGGCCGCAAGAACTAAAGGGAGTATCCAAGAAATGGTCTATTGGTACAATTTGACACCTAAAGAAGGATTAGGTGGCGATTCATCGCCGAGTTCCCAGATTTTTTCGTACCAATGGCGATGTAAAGGTGAACCTGTAAAAGGTGAAGTGTATGAAGGGTCACATTTTACAGTAGGTGAACGTGTGTATGTCAAGCCGCCAAACCCATCCTGTACTTCGAGATGGAAGGAAGGAGTGGTTACTGGACAGTTTTCACCCAGAAGTGTTGAAGTAAATGGCAGGCCTCATCACATAGCAGATGTGCGAAAAGTAGTTGAGAGTAAAAATGAAAGTGTAAGTTGTGTCGGCACCTCGAGGGCGTGTGGTGGTGTTGACACCACGGGGGCGTGTAGCTGTGAACTAGCATCAGCTGACTAGTGTCCTTTATGTTTACGATTTTGGATATTTCGGTTGTCATGGTGACCAATGTGTGTTGAGTTGAATTAATGTTTAGAGAAGGTTCGTTTTGTTGTCCTGTTTTTTAAAGTGTAAAATATAACTAAGTTGTAGAAAGTTCTGAAGAGTTTTATTTTCCCACAGTTTTTAAAATTACTATTACAAATTTCCTTTGATTAATTAAGTGATTAAACTTTTACATTTTACGATTCTATATACTTATACATATGTTGAACTATTGACATTAATGCAAAAATAAATTACACCCATTCCAAACAATTGGTGGATACTTTCGATACATGCGATTTCTTACAATCGAAGCTAAAAATTGAGTTAACAACAGCTAAAATTCACTACCAAGGAAAGCCACTTTTACTTCCTAGACGGAAAACCCCACTTTAGATACACGCCACCATTAAAAGCATCCATTAAAAACGGCCGAAAGTACGAAGTTATAAAATAAACAATAGCATGTCAAGAATGCAATACTACAATAGTATGTAGTTATTTTCATTGATTCATCCAAGCTTTATTTTATAAAAAGTAATGGTGCTTATAATGAATATATTTATCTTTTCGTTTGGCATTATTGGAACATTTTTAATAATGTTTATTATACACTTTTTCTCTGCAGGTACATTTAAACATATTTTAGGTTAGTAGGGCAAACAAATCTGTGGCACCTCTATAACAATAAATATAATTCCAAAACCTGAAAAATACTTAAATATATTATTGCAACGTATTTTACGTAAGCTATTACGTAAATCCATTCTATTGACAGCATATTTATCATATTTTACTGTTAATATAATCAGCAATATAAATAAGTCCGGTTACTATAAGGTTTTATTCACACAATATAAAAAATGGCATTATTCATAGTAGATATAATTCATAATTTATAAATCACTAAGAACCGGACTTTTGCATTATTGAAAGAAGAAGAATTTGCATCGACTTTGAGAATCTTTTGTTTCAGAAACAGCGAATAGCTTTTAAAACAAAAACTTGTATCCGTCTTTAATCATGTCGAAAGTGTATTATTTTTCGTATTTCAAATAACAATCAAGACCTAGTCTTACGTTTGATAACATGGCTACACAAATTTACTCACTAAAAGGCTTTTACTTCTAATACTTTTCTAGGTTATTTTATAAAGAATAGTTAGTAATTGTAATTTAATTAATCTTGCCCATCATTAAACATGACGAAAATATATTCTTCATTGCAATAGGCATGTGTGTACAATAGGCACAGAAGCAAATTCTCCTTTGTCAGAGATAATTTCTGTTGTATTAATTTTAAATGCTTTTTCCAGAAAGTTTGTATATAGACCAATTTAGAAAGCTACATAATATTATAAATATTTTGTTTAGAATCACTTGTCACATTTTGTTCTATTCCTGTTACTCGAGATAGCAGTGTGTTGTGTGTCACACCAAGTAACCTATAACACAAACAATCAGACACGTGATTGCTTCTCTCTTGTTTCAATATTTCTCAGACACGTCAAGTCTACTTCCTTTACCCGAACTAGTTTTCAACTCTTTCAATTACATTTCTTGAATTTATTTTATAACTCTTATATGCACTTTTCATACAATTAAATTGTATTGTGATCATAATTGAAGTGTTGAGAAATATTTTGGTATATGCTAGGCGAAGGGTGTTACGATATCTAAATACTCCGACCTGCTCAGAAATGTCTTTCGGTAGGACAGGTTGTCCTAGTAGGTCCAAAACAATCAGTGGAATAGAGCTAGCTTTTGGGGCTCAATTCCATCAACCATGAGTCAAAGAAGGGTGTAGTTTTAGTTCAGCTTTTTACGAAGCACTCGCCATTAAAGCACTATGTAAAAAAACAAATACTTCAGAAACCTATGCAGTACTATACATTAAGCTCATCACATTATGTGTTTGCTTCACGATAATAAAACGGTGTTCCCTCCTGCACCCTGAATCTACCATTAGCCTGTCATTGCGCAATGAGGACTTGTTCTTTTATGTTCTCCCTTGTTTACCTGTCCTGTGGTGCTTTTGGGGTGAACATCGTCAGTATTCATTATCGAATGTTGTTTCCTTTATGAACTAACAAAGCTAGAGTACTTGATTGGTGCCTTAGATTTGCAATACTTTTCAGCATCAATGATGCAATGTTTTTAAGAGTTGTTTAACACTTATTTAACGAGAATATTTTCCGACAGAGTACGTAAGCATGCGAATCTCTTAAAGTAAAGCAATGCGATTATGTGGCATGACTATTTAGTTTATTGCCCTTATACAATACGATTTTATGGAAAGCTAATGACCTACTGTACTAGTCTATGTTTCAAACGTTTTTTTTTTTACTTTAAAGACTTAAATAATTAAAAAATATATATGAAAACTAGTTTTCATATTAATATTTTGTAAATCGTGAGTTACATATAATTAAAGAGTAATTTATTATCAGAGCTTAAATTTATGATTTGTTTACATGTATGTTAAATTATTATGGATTACAATTACGTCACAAAAGAACATTAACTTTACTAGTTTTACTATAAAAACATTATGCAATGCCCAGTAAAAAAGCATTATTTTTATTTAGTTTAAAATCGTCTTAAGAATTTAAATCTGACAATCTGGAAATATTTCTCTTAAATCCTAAAGGTAAGTACAAGTTAACGGGGTGGGATTTACTCTTGAATAATTTATGTGATTTTAAAAGTTCAAGCGAAAGTTTTTAGTAAGACGGGTATATTTCAGCGCTGATTCAAAGCATTAACTTTTTCTAAAAGTATATTTTAAAGATAGGTATTTATATTTTCTAGATTGTCACTGAGGAGATTGGAAGTTGATTTTAACGGAAAAATCGTGTTTTTATTAGATGTGAATTAAAAACTTTGGCTGAAAAGTTCTTATGATTTCTTGATTAACATGAATATTCGAGTTATACTAAGAGAATAAATCATAAAACAGCCCTTTAGCATATATAAAAGCTTTTGCAGCATTTAAAACTTATTATTCAGGTTCTAGGCGTAGTCATTTTTATTTACTGAACGTTGACAGTCTTGTTCGGGGCAATATTAGTAGTTTTAATTATATTCTATTTGAGTTTTGAAGCCTAAAACTGTATATAACCTTGAAAATCCCGCTGATCCCTTGATCTAAAAATCTTCAAACAACATCATACTATTATTATTATTATGGTTTTTCATAAAACTTTACTTGATTAACTGACGAAAACCTTGTTACCCTTACACTGTATTCTATACATAGTATATATAGGCTTTATTATTAGCTGCATTTACGATAATGAAAAATATATAACTATTAAAAAAATATAACTAAAGAAATATCAGGAATTAGAATTAAAATACAGTATATAAAATCTACGAGTATTTTACATGCTGTATGTTAAATATTACAATTTTTATCTACTTCTCACTTTATCCAGGGTTTTTCGTAAATATCATCCCAAAGGCGAAAGAACAAAGCAACCTTGCAATAAACATGAGCTGTCAATAACAACCCCTAAATGGGCTCCACACGGACGATTCGGGGTGACTTGTTCGGTATCTCAACAAAGATACAAATAAAGAAGTGAGGTTTGTCTCTTAACCCTTGTAAAGATTAAACGTTGAAGGAACCATGAATAAAAATATGCAATTCGTTGGAAAGATAATTTGAGTATGTCAATTAATAGGTTGTGGTTTTTTGAAGAAAATAAACTTAAAAATTTTAAAATAAATCTATACAAATTAAACTAACAGGCTGTAACTCCATAGCAAAATAATTGCCAAATAAAAAAAGGCAATGCATTAGATTAGGTCATGATGTTAGAGATATAATTGCATTTTAAAAATAAATATAATAATTTAGACTATATTGGTCTAATAAACATGTTTAAAACGAAATACACAAAACAGTAATTAACAATTGTTTTAAATTTTAAATATTCTACAGAAATTAATTTAAATTTTAAATAACCTAAAACAGAACTTTTTGCTTTTGATGAAATATATTGTAATTAACAACGCAACAAACGGACAATAGAAAGGTTCTTTCCACCCCGTGAACGGAAGCATTGTTAATGCTTTGTGGAATTCTATTATAACTTTGTGATTAAGTAAGTTCCAAAGGCCAAACTGAAATGACAAAAACGTATCTGCTTCTGAGAGAACTTCAGGTTAATGAGTTGAAAATCGTGAATTTAATTAACAAGCCTTAGGAGTACTTCCAAACAGTTATCCCTTTTTCAACTATAACTCAAAAATTGTAAATTCAGATTGATTCTAAAAGTATATTTAATTCAAATTAAATAAGTAACATTTAAGACAATGCATTTTTTGTGTATGATTATTGTCTTTATGTAAACAATATTCTTGGTTTGCGAAGTTCCGTTGGTGTGTCCAAATTATTCATTTTGATATTTCAAAAATATTTAACTGTGATTAAATCACAAAAATAAAAAAAATATATAACTTCATGGTTATGATTTTAAGATGACATTTAGGTGATTCCGTAAGATAAAAATAGCGCTGATTTAAAATATTCTCAAAATTTTAAAAATAGTATGTATTATATTGGCTTGTAAGATAATATTGTTCAATAATAGAGATGGAAAGCTATCCTAGTAGCCTTGTGGAGTTCATTTAAAACCTAGTTATTTACACTGTATTTTATTGCCAACGCTCTTTCTGTCACTTAAAAAGATATTCTCCCTCCTTTTTTACCTGGTGACAAAATTAGTAAAACTCTTGACCTAAGTATTATTATTAAATTTAATTAAAAGAGAAAGATTTATAGATTTATATTGAAATGGTTAGGTGAAATTTTGTTGGCAAACTATGTATAATTTAGACATAAATGAAGCTATAACTATAATTTGGACATAAATTAAGCTATAACTAAATAACACTAAAGCTAAATAACTAAATAGATAATGGCATAGTGTTTTTGTACATAATATATATAAAAAATTTAAAAAGGATTTT